TCATTTATTGGTTCATGTATATGTGGAAAGAGTGAAAGATTTGTTATTTAGGTTGTCATTTTTGATAAATCAGAATTTTTCATGTTTCTAATTTTTTCAGTCACTCATATCTGTTTTGAAAATAGCTTGATGTTTTCTTGATTTTGAACAATTTGTAAAGTTGATCTTCAATGATCTTCCTGAAATTGTTTAAGTAATGAATTCTTGTTTCATTTAATTTTCCTTAAGGATTTTCCCATATTAAACTTTTTTTCTTTTCTCCTCTGAAGGGACATTATCGGTTTGAAGGACCAGCTTTCCCAACGATCCAGGAACTAATTCTTCACCAGCATGGATGTGGGCTGCCGGTCACGAACAAGTCAGGTGCTATTCTCCGCAACCCCATATTCAGAGAGAGATGGGAACTGAACAACGACGATGTGGAATTACGGGATAAGATAGGCAGGGTGAGTAATTTTCTTTTTGTTTCTTCTTTTCTTTCTCATTTGTATTATCTGATTTTAAGGATTTTTTTTTTACATCTCAGTTTTGCCTTTCACATAAGGAATCTAATGCTTTCATGCCTTCTCTTTATGGAATTACTGAAGTGTGCTAGAGGTAAGGTTAAAGTGATGTGTATTCAAGCTCTTGTGAATTTTCATTATTATTTTTATGTACTATTAACCTTTCAGTTTTTCTGAATCATTGATATTATAGTTAATTTCTCATACTATAAATTCCTTCTTATGATTCAATATGATGGTCTCCCAACAGGGTAACTTTGGTGATGTGTATAAAGCACGTTTACGGGACTCAGGACTAGAAGTGGCTGTCAAGACATGTCGAGTAACATTGCCGGATGAACAGAAGAAGAAATTCCTACAAGAAGGACGCATTCTGAAACAATATGATCACCCGAACATTGTCAAATTCATTGGCATCTGTGTTCAAAAACAGCCTATTATGATTGTCATGGAATTGGTGCCTGGTCAGTGTCTATATTCTCTTTACCAAAATATTGCTCTTATATAAGATTTGTGTTTATATCAAAATAACTCTCATGAGATAGTAAACAACAGTATCTGCTTTTCTCTTGTAATATGGTACTATTTATATAATTATCTTTAAACAATGCCATCAAAATCAGAGAATATTACACAATTTCTGAACATTCAAATCAATCAAGTCACAGTTCTGAATAGACATGAAAACCTCTTTTCTTTAATCCATCCTTAGGCGGCTCTCTGCTGAGCTTTGTGCGGAACCATAAGGGTCAGCTGACAGTGAAACAGATGATGGGAATGTGCCTCGACACTGCTTCAGGCATGGCTTACCTCGAGTCGAAGAACTGCATTCATAGAGACTTGGCGGCAAGGAACTGTCTTGTGGGTCAGTGTCTGGAAGCATTTTCTTGTCGGGTCTTGTTTGTCTCATGATCTTTGGTGGTGTTTGCTGTATTGAACAAGACCAGTTCATCATATATTATTTCCCATTTGTCACATACCAAACATGATATCTTCAAAGAACAGGTTAGCATGAAATAAAAATCAGTTGATTTTGTTTATTTTGTTAACTAAAAGGGACAATCTTCTTTTCTAGGTCATCGAAGCATTGTCAAGATTTCGGACTTTGGTATGTCAAGAGAAGAAGAAGAATACATTGTCAGTGATGGCATGAAACAGATTCCAATCAAGTGGACGGCTCCTGAAGCTCTGAATTTTGGTTTGTTTCTCTGTTTTGTGTCTTGTGTAATCAAATGTAAATTGTCTTAGTTATGTGTGTGACTATTACAAAAGGTGGCATACTGGAAATATTCTTATGGAATTTTTTATATCTCCTCACTAGGATGAATGTGCCAGTATAGAAAGATATGAATATATAGTTTTTATACTGATTTTTTTTATGTATATGCTATCACTAATTCAAAACTAATTCATTTAAATAGGCAAGTACACGTCATTGTGTGATGTGTGGAGCTATGGCGTGCTATGCTGGGAAATCTTTTCTTCAGGAGAAGTTCCTTATCAGGGTTATTCCAACACAAAGGCTCGAGAGATGATTGATTCAGGTAAGAGATTGTCGAATCGAGGCAGTGAAGGATTTGTGATGTGGAAAGTGTAGTCATATTGAGCTGTATTATCTACGTGTTCATTGTAATAGTTCCCAAGAAGAGTATGAATGAGAAGATATATATACACAGTGGTTTTGTGAGAACATTTCATCCTTATTAAAACCTTATTGTCTCTTCCTCCAGGATACAGGATGTTGGCACCACCCAACACCCCAGAAGAAATGTACCAGCTGATGCTAAAGTGCTGGCAGTATGAACCGGAAAATAGGCCACACTTCTCGGATATTTACGCTGCTGTCGATAGTATATATGCTCCATTATAGTGACGTGCTTTTTTGGTAATAGTAAGATGAATAAGGATCCATTATATTAATGTATTTTGTTATTCAAGATTCTCCCTCTGTTTCCTGTCTTTATTCAGGATGGAAAAACTGTAGTAATGCTCTTTTATTTTGCCCTTAATGAATATTTATCTGTAAGAACAGATATTTGCATGTGAAGGTTTAGTGATTGCAAGGGAAGTACATATCAATTTTTATGGCAATGTATATTATGATGATGTTATTAACCTAAGAATTGTCATGAAAAAAAATAATATTCACACCATGTTAACATTTAGCAGTAATATACTGTGATAAAAAGGATAAATAAATGTTTCTTGGTCTGAGGATACTTAATGCAATATATTATTTTTTATTCATAGTTGCACAATAGGATAAATCTTAGTATGTATGTACTTGTTCATGGTATTTCATTTGAAAATTTTGTATTCAGTAAAGGAACATTTCAAAATGTTCTTTTTAAATCTGGTTCTTAGTAATAATGATAATAACAATGATAATGATAGTAATAGTAATAATGATAATATTAATAATTATAGTAATGATAATAATAATAATAATAATGGTAATAATAAAATCATAGTGATTTAAGCACTTTAAGATTTATTAAAATATTTTTCATCTTTACCACAGTAATTACTGCTAAAATATGACATGCTCTTCAGATTCTTTTTTAATGATTTACACTTAAGATAATTATGAATGATTTATGATGATGAATTCTTTAACAGATTATGAACAAGAAAGAGTAGCTTATAGTAATATGATACCAGGTGCTAATGGGTCCTTTCAATAGTGTCCATGACCTTCTTTTGATATTTTGTCGTTGTATTTTCGATGACACGTTGCAAGTCGCATTGCAATTTAGAAATAGAATTTGGTATATCATAGGAATGACATGGTAGGTTTGGTGTGGGAGCTTTTTTTGCTTTAAGTTTACAATAGACCTTTTACATATCGGAATCAGTGTCATGGGGATGAACTTTTGATGTTTTGATCAAACACAAGACTGAACGGAATAAAAGGTTTTCGTATGTCAATATATTTATTGCTGTTAGCAGCATGTTTACATAGTCTTGCCAGCATAATATTAAAAATAAAAAACAAGGAGAACATTGTCTATTTATGTTCATACGTCTTGCTCACGTTGCAGTTTCATAGGGATATAACGCTTATCTTTAGTTAGCCGGGAGAGCAAAAGTAATAGGCAATGGAGCGTTAGGAAAAATGTTGATTATCTATCACCTGTGATAGCTACCTTTAACTGCTGTAAATGCTGTTTATACGAAAGACTTGTTGTATCATTGTTGACTATGTAGGGAGCTCCAGCAGTGTGCACAAGACTAGCGAATGCAAAAGACTTGTATTTTGGTGCACAAGAAGAAATGTAATTTATGGCTTCTTGAGGAGAAATGTGTGCCATATATTACACTTAGATGTACTAGTGTATATGTGCCATGAAGGAGAAGATATTTCTATATAAGAAGATAAAGTTTGTAACAATTTATACATACATATATATATATGATAGTATTTAGTTGAATGATGCTTCTGTTGCAATAAGACTGTAAATATAGATTTTACTCTTTGAATGTCAGTGTTTTGCAGGTAATTTTATGAATATGAAGGAACCATGTGTATATGTGCTCACTACCAGGTGTTTAAACTACACAGCAGGCAATATTAGTTACATAATTCTCAGTGTGAATAAAAGGGAAGGGTATGTGCATTTACTGCCTAATGCACCTTTTTTGTTAGGTATCTACAATAACCCATTTTACATATTGAAATGTAGATATGCAATAAGCCTCTTTGTGCAGTGTGCAAGACTATACATGTATATTTGATTCTTCCCTTTTTCTCTCTTTTCTCGCACTTCTGTGGATTTATGTAAGTCAGAGGCTGTCACATGCAACCCTTTTGCTTAACAGCAGCATAGTATTTGAAATGCCATAAAAACATTAGAAAAAAATTCTTGTATATGTGTATAATATATCTAGTCCACTAACCTTTATGGCCGAATGATTATTAAGGAAAATTTACTTGTTTATCCATGCAATTGGGCAATAACCAGCTTAACTATCCTTGTTGTTCATTAATGTACATAATTGCTATGCATATTAATGCTCCATCTCTCTAGCTTGTAAGCATTTGCTTTATGTGATTAAATGTTTATACAACCCTGTGTGCTGTGCTTTCTGAGAGAATTTGTGCTGAATGATCTGAATATTTATAATATTTTGTATGTATTAATGCAGAGGTTTATGCTTCATGTCAAAACTTGTGGAAACAGTAGCAGTGATCCGTTTCATGCTGATTTTTTCTTTATGTCTTGGAATTTAGATGAAACAAATTTCATCCTACAAAACCAAAATGGTCTTGTACTCTAACTGATTTCTCTCTGTTATTGGTTATCCAGAATGTATGTGGTTTGAAACCATTTCTTTTTCCTTTCACAATATAATATCACCTTTAGCAGTTAGTGAAATTCAGAGATTAATAGTAATAGCACTTACTAGTTAGTTTTGATCATGTGGCTGAAGTGATTAGTAAAATCGCCAAGCCTTCTCACAAGTGTAACTAATCAAAGATTCCTTTTTTATATGCAAGCATATGATAAGTACAGTATGACTCATAAAAAATATGCATTGAATGGATGTACCACCACTCATGTAGAGTGATATTTCCTCTCATTTCTACATCTTGACCTTTGATGGGGTATGCAGTGATAGCATATAGTTGACAATATGTTTGCCTCATCTGCTAATAGCAACTAACAACCAAAAAATGTACTTGTTACTCTCTGTAAGTCACTTTTCCATTAAACTATTGAATGTTTTATTTTGTTTTCATTTACCTTTTTTGCCAGATGTTTTCCAGTTAGTAAAGTCATGTGTGTATAAAGTTATTGCTGATGTTTAATGTGTGTGTGTGTGTGTGTGTGTGTGTGTGTGTGTGTGTGTGTGTGTGTGTGTGTGTGTGTGTGTGTGTGTGTGTGTGTGTGTGTGTGTGTGTGTGTGTGTCTTAAGTATCTATGGTTTTTATTAAAGGACTATTTTGATAAATTGAATAAAAAAGGTAGAGTTTCCAGCAAACCCACTTCCCTTCCTTTCGTAAGCACATTATTAAATCAAAATGAAGGTTGCAAGATGCAGCAGATAAAGGGACTGAATTAGCCTTTATTTTTCCCCTGGGACGTTAAGCTTTTAAAGTTTAGCATTGCTAGACGACGAAATCTACTAAGTAGTACTTCAGGAAAGACCATTATAGGAGCCTTTTTACAGGGAGGCAACTCAGTTACTCAGAGTTCAAATCCTAATCAAAGACCGAGTACGAGTTTTAATTTTAATCATAAACTGAGTGAGTTCGAATCCTTATCACAGACCGAGAGAGTGTTCAAATCCCATTCACAGACCGAGTGTGAATTCGAATCTTAGTCACAGCTAAGAAAAGCATCCATTCGGCGTAACGTTTTCCATCTGCCAAAGAAAAGCCCCTCGCTAATAAATGAATAACAATAAATGAAAAACACCGTTCTAGCCCTTGCGAGGGACTTCGTGGCGAAGAGTTGGACCATGGAGCACCAATAGACTAGACCCTTCTTTTTGAAGCTCAGTGAAACAAACATTTATAGTAAAGGCAAGGGCCCTTCTATGAAGTTCCTTGTATAATTGGATACCAACATCGAGGCGGAACACTGCTAATAGGTAAAGCGGAATTGGAAGCCGCCTAAAGAAACAAACAACAAAAGCACTTATGCTACACCTAATTTAAATCGTGCAGCATGTGTTTCTTTCCTGTGGCGAAAGAGGACCATCAACCAAGCATCTATTCCAGTAGAATTCCCGACGCCTACACGAATGAAACTGGTAGACATGTGCCGGACGTTTACAAAGAAGTAGGAATGCACGGAGCAGCGGAAATACCTAAAGAAAGAAAGAAAGAAAGAAAGAAAAAACAGGAAGAAGAAAAATAACAGGAGCTATTTGAATCACAAAGGAGAGAGAGCTATGGTTCGATCCCAAAATGCTTGAAAAATGATTCTGAATTACAAAAGAATACCCTTGACTTTGGTGACTGGCACCCTTTATTACACCTTCGATCAGTCACTGTCTGTTGAATGGTGTATATGCAATTCATATTACCGTTTGTATGTTTTTTTTTCAATGATTGATACACTCTCGAAACGCCTCAACTATAGATCTTGTAAATGATTGTTTTCTATTTTTTAACAATTTTTTGATACTTGTAGTAGTCATGTTCTTTCTGTGTTGTTTCTTGTTCTGTTCCCTATACCATTTGGCATGTTGTTATTCATCATATTATCATGTTGCTCCCTGTTATGGTTTTGTTTCTGTTCTATTATTGCCAACGATTACTTTTAATTTAGTTTCCCCTATATTTAGCTTATCATTACAGAAAACCCAGGAAAATGTATGGATGACTTATGAATTTTCCACGACTTTTGTATTATTTCTGGTTTTGCTGTGGTTATTATACTTATTATTGTTGTTGTTGTTGTTGTTATTGTTGTTATAATTATTGTTCATCATCATCATCATCATCATCATCATCATCATCATCATCATCATCATCATTATTATTATTATTATTATTATTATTATTATTAATATTATTATTATTATTATTATTATTATTATTATTATTATTATTATTATTATTATTATTATTATATATTATTATTATATTATTATTTATTATTATTATTATTATTATTATTATTATTATTATTATTATATTATTATTATTATTATATATTATATTATTATTATTATTATATTATTATTATTATCATCATTATCATTATTATTATTATTTTTATTATTATTATCATTATTATCATTATTATTATTATTCATTCAATTATTATCATTATCATTTTTATTTTTTAAAATCTTTACTATTGTTGGTACCATAGCTATGATAATGATGATCATAATAATAAAAATAATGATAATGATAAAAATTATGATGATGATAAATGTCAATAATAGATACTGTTGTTATTATTATCATTATTATTATTGTTATTATTATTACTATCATTATTATAACAATAATTATTATCAATATTATTATTATTATTATTATTATTATTATTATTATTATTATATATTATTATTTTATTATCATTATTATTACATAGTATTTTTATTATTATTATCATTATTATTGTTATTATCTTTTCTATCATCATCATTGGTATTATTACCATCATTAGTAATATTGTTATCATTATGATTATTGTCATTGCCATTATCATTTTTATTATTATTATTGTTATTGTTATTACTATTGTTATTTGAGTATTATTATCATCATCATCATTTCTATAATTATCTTATTGTTATTATTATTATTTTTTGTTATTATTATCATCATTATTATCATTATTATTATTCATTATTATGCTATCATTATTGCTATTATTCTTTTATTATTATTATCAATATTATTATCATTATTATCATTATTATTAGTATTATTATTATCAATGTTATTAATATCATTATTATTTTATTATTAAAATTGTTATTGTTATTGTTATTATTACTATTATATTATTATATTATTATTATTATTATTATTATTATTATTTTTGTTATTTCGTTATTATTATTTTTCTTATTATTATCATTATTATTGTTACAATTATTATCATTGTCATCATCATCATTATTATCATTATCATTATCATTGTCATTATCATTACCATTAATATCATTATTATTACTATCATAGTTTTAATTATCATTATTATTACCATTACATAATTATCATTATTATTATCATCACTATTATTACTATTATTATAATTATTGTTATCATTATCATTATTGTTTTTATCATTATTAGCATTAACAATATTACTATCATTATTGTTATTGTTATAATTATGATTACTTTTATTATCAGTATTATTATCATCGTTATTGATATTATCATCATTTTCATTATTGTTATTATTATTATAATTATTATTGTTATTTTAGTTTTATTATTATTTTTTGACGTGCACCATTATCATTATTATTATTATATTATTATATTTATTATTATTATTATTATTATTATTATATTATTATTATTTATTATTATTATTATTAATTATTATTATTATTATTATTATATTATTATTATTATTATTATTATTATTATTATATTATTATTATTATTATTATTATTATTATTGTTATTATTATTAACTTTTGATATTTTTATTATTATTATTATTATCATTATTATTACATTATTATTGTTATTGTTATCATCATTGTTATTGTTGTTATTCTTGTTGTTGTTATGATTACCATTATTATTAGTATCATTATTATTATTATTATTATTATTATCTTATTTATTTGTTTTTATTGATTTATTGATGATCAACATTATCATGATTAATTATCGTTATTATCATTAGTGTTAGTGTTATCATTACTGTTGTTTTTATTATTACTATTACCATCATCGTTATTATGATTAGTATTACTAATCATGATAATGATTATCATCATTATTAATATTTTAATGTTATTGTATTATCATTATTTATTTTATTATCATTATGATTATCATCATTATTGCTCTCATTATTCTCATTTTTATCATCATTGTTATCATTACTATCATCATATATATAACATTATCATAATCATCATCATTATTACCATAACTAACATCAGCCATTTGGCCCACACAGCTTTAATCCAGTGATGACCAAACCTTTAATAATTAAACGTACTTATATATGCAAAGCCCGCCCTGGACGAACTCCCTGTTGTGAATGACATAACCCTATTTTGCATACGGGGTGGGGGTGGGGGTGAGAGAGGGTGGGAGGTGGGAGAGGGTGGGAAAAGGGGAGTGGGAGTAGGAGGTGGGGTCCCTGCAAAAGCCTTGGCCAACAAACCGCTTCGGAGTTGTTTTGTCAATTGTACGTCAACACACTGCGAAATATCCGTTATTTGTATATTTGTTTGCGTATCTGTGTTGTTATTAGGATAGTTATCATTGTGATTATTATTGTTTTTCTTCTTATTATTATTATTATCGTTCTCATTATCATCTTTATCATTATTATCACTATTATCATAGTTATCATCAGGATTACTATTTTCATTATTATTATTGTTTTCATCATCATCATTAGCAGTAGTACTATTATTATCATTATTATTATCATCATTACTCTTATTGTTATTAAATATCAATTTTATCACCTTTATAAGCATTTTGATTCCTTAAAACTGAAACAAAGGTATATTATCTGAGCTTTATTCAGTAATCAAATTCCCTGATTTATATATGAAAAAAATACGATTTGACATGACGTGTGAGATTCTGTAGGTGACGACGTGACTGATTACAAGTAAATGGCCATGCATGGAGGGTGACATAAACAAAGACAAAGATGCTTGTTATAACTTTCATTACACACACACACACACACACACACACACACACACACACACACACACACACACACACACACACACACACACAACACACACAACACACACACACACACACACACACATACACACACACACACGCACAGGCACACGCACACACATACACACACACA